ACAACTTCATGGGCTGCCTCAAGGACGTGAGTCTGGGGGCTCAGGGACCCCCCCCGGCCTCACCTGGGGCGTGGCGCAGGTGATCGGGGCGGGGGGAGCTCAGGCTGGGGACACCTAAACCCCCCCCGACTCACCTGTGTGTGTCCCCAGGGGGCTGAGGTCACATTTTGGGGACCCTCGCTCACCTGTGCGTGTCCCCAGGGGGCTGAGGTCACATTCTGGGGACCCCCGACTCACCTGTGTGTGTCCCCAAGGGCTTTAGGTGACGTTTTGGGGACCCCCGACTCACCTGTGCGTGTCCCCAGGGGCTTTAGGTGACGTTTTGGGGACCCCCGACTCACCTGTGCGTGTCCCCAGGGGCTTTAGGTGACGTTTTGGGGACCCCCGACTCACCTGTGTGTGTCCCCAGGAGCTGGAGTCACATTTTAGGGACTCCCAACTCACCTGTGCGTGTTCCTGGGGACTCTAGGTGACATTTTGGGGACCCCCGACTCACCTGTGCGTGTCCCCAAGGGCTTTAGGTGACATTTTGGGGACCCCCGACTCACCTGTGCGTGTCCCCAGGGCTGTTACACCTGCACGACACGCAGCGACACTACGGGACCAGCACTGGGGGGGGGTCACAGCTGGATATTGAGGACCCCCAGCCCCCTCCCCTCCCAAGCTCACCTGTCCCCACCCCCTCCCCAGGTGGTTTACAAGAACAACGACTTCAAGCTGGAGCTGTCGCGGCTGGCGCAGGAAGGGGACGCGCGGGTGACGCTGCACGGGGCGCTTCTCTTCCACTGCGACCCCCCCCCCGCGCTGGACCCCGTCACCTTCGCCACCCCCCAGGCTCACCTGGCGCTGCCCACCTGGCGCCCGGCCCGCGCGGGCTCCGTGTCCTTCGATTTCCGCACCACGGAGCCCAACGGGGTCCTGCTCTTCGGGCAGGGACCCCCCCGCGACCCCCCGGCCGCCCCTCCCCGGGGGCCCCCCCCGCCGCCCCCCGATTTCCTGGCGCTGGAGCTGCTGGACGGGCACCTGTACCTGCTGCTGGGCATGGGCGCGGCCGGGCTGCGGCTCCGCGCCAGCGCCCGGAAGGTGACGGATGGGGAGTGGTGCCACGTGGACGTGCAGCGCGACGGCAGGAAAGGTGAGGGGGGCTCAGGTGAGAGGGGGGTTCAGGTGAGAGGGGGGTTCAGGTGTGCAGAGGGTGCGCAGGTACAAGCCACAGGTGTGCAGAGGGGTTGTTCACAGGTGTGCAGAACTGTACAGGTGTGAGGGTTTGGGTGCGCAGAGGGGTCCCAGGTGTTCAGGGGGCGCACGGAGGGTTTGAGGTTGTTCACAGGTGTGCGGAACTGTACAGGTGCAGTTCACAGGTGTGCGGGGGGTGCTGGGGCAGGGTATCCCTGTCATCCTTCCCTTTGCCGTGCGCCCCCCGTGCTGTCCCCCAGTGTCCCCCCAGGCTGGGTGTCCATGAACCCCAAGGACCCCCCTGATGTCCCCTCTCTGTCCCCTCTCTGTCCCCAGGCTCGGTGTCCGTCAACAGCCGCAGCACGCCCTTCTTGGCCAGCGGTGACCGCGACGTTCTGGACGTGGGGGCCGAGCTGTACCTGGGGGGGCTCCCCGAGGGTCGCCCCGGGCCCCCCGCGCCCCCCGAGCTCTGGGCCGCGGGGCTGCGCCTCGGCTTCGTGGGCTGCGTGCGGGACCTGTTCGTGGACGGGCGGAGCCGCGACGTGCGGGCGCTTTTGGGGGCCGGGGGCTCCGGGGGGACCCCGGGGGTCGCCCCGCTGTGTGCGAGGGACCCCCCCCGGCTGTGCGCCAGCGCTCCGTGTCGCAACGGGGGGACGTGTCGCGAGGGGTGGAACCGCTTCGTGTGCGACTGTCGCGGCACCGGGTACCTGGGGCCGCGCTGCGAGACAGGTGAGGGGGGGGGTGGGACCGTCCCTGAACACCTGGGGGATGCGGGGGGCTGGGGTGGGACGTGGGACCCCGAGGTGACACCTGGGGGGACGTCAGGTAGCTGGGACAGCGCTGTGGGACAGGTGAGTTGGGACTCTGGGCCAGGTGAGGAGGGGGGGACGGGGAGGGGGGGGTTGGGACTCTCTGAGCACCGCGGTCACACCTGTGGGGAGGGGTCGCACCTGAGGAGGAGGTGCTTGGATGTCCCCAGGAACACCTGAACACCTGAGCCCTGCCCCCACCTCACCGGACACCCCCTGGATGGGTGGGGGGGGGGTCCCCCAAACACCTCCAGTCCGGGGAGGGTCCCCAAAAAAGCGGCACCCAGTGACAGCATCCGTGTCCCCCACGGGGGGGCTCAGCCAGCACCTGCCTGGGGTGGCGCTCACCTGGCCGGGGGGTCCTGGCACCCAGGGGTGCTCTGGGGCCATGGGGGTGCCCAGGGTGACAGGGGGTGCCCAGGGTGACCGGGGGGTGCCCAGGGTGACCGGGGGGTGCCCAGGGTGACCGGGGGTCCCCCTCTCCCCGCAGAGGCGGCCGTGCTGAGCTATGACGGCAGCATGTACCTGAAGGTGCAGGTGCCGGGGGAGCAGACCGAGGCCGAGGACGTGTCCTTGCGTTTTATGTCCCCCCGAGCCTTCGGCCTCGTCCTCGCCACCACCTCGCGCCACTCGGCCGACACCCTGCGCCTCGAGCTGGACGGGGGGCGCATGAAGCTCACCCTCAACCTGGGTGAGACCCCAAAAAAAAAAACCCGGCAGAGACCCCACCCCCACCTCCCCACCCCGGACACCTCCCCGAAATCCGCCCCAAAATCCGCCCCAAAACGGGGCCCGAGCCGGTTCTGGTGGTCCCAGAATGGCCAAAATGGGGTCTGGGACCCCCAAATGGTGCCCGGTACCCCAAAATGATCAAATTGGTGCCCGGGATGCCAGAGTGATGCTCAGGACCCCAAATCGGTGGCCGAGTTATGACCCCAAAAAGGGTCAAGGTGATTCTTGGGCATCCCCAAACATCCCCAAAATGGCTCCAAAATGGGCAAATCGGCGCCTGGGA